GGCCAGTTTCATCAGGCGTTTGCCTCTGCTCTCCTGCATTATAATTTGTGTTTAATGGCTATTTATATTAAATATCCAATCTTCCAATCCAATTTTGCACCTTTAGCTTTCTTCCGCTCTGCCAGCAGCATACTGCCACTTACCCTTATTGCTCTCGTTGCTCTAAAAAAATCCCGCAAAAAAGGAAGACCCTTTCTTAAAGAGGCTGAACACCTAAGCGACGTTCATAACTTCACTTAACAAGGTTCATAAGTCGAGTTTCGATTCCCATGTTGGGGAGATGAAGGCCTTAGTTGTAAACTGTATAAAGTGTGAGCGCTAGTATTGAGCGCTGTTAAAGTCCATCTGAGGACTTACAATGTGTTATACACGTAGCCAAAAAGATTAGTTCGTATAAAAGTGTTAACCGTAAAATTTGTTTAAGTCTTAATGTTTGGCCATGTCCATCTTAAAAAAATTATGTATATTATAATATTTTTTATATTTATATTTACTTTTTTGAATGCTACATTTTATAGAACTATTACATAAAGTAGACTAAAACTGTATTGCTTGTCTCTATTCTAAACTATATTTCTATTCTAAAAAATACCGGATTTGTCAAGTAATTGCAAGATAATATATTCAAAGGTATAATTAGTCTAAATATGTAGTGCAGCGATCAATATCTTTTTTATTCTTTTCTGGTGCTACTTTTTTCCTTCATATATTATTTAAAAGCACTTAGCAAAATGAAAATACAAGAACCAAAATCCCGGATTGTGTAAATAAAACACGCTTTAAAATGTTAAAGCTAAAGCAAATGGAAACATATATTTTGCTAACAAAAGAATTATTTTTCAAAAGTAGCGTAAGAACTCTACAGTGATATTTGTACGATACATATTTTGAGATAATTGTAAAAATTAGCAAAATGTTCTTTATCTTTTTGAGGGTGGTAATATCTTTAGTTTCTTTAGATATCCCTATGTATATTTCATACGTTCACTGCCAACTACGATACAGCTTTTAGATTTTTATCTACCCAGTATTCCAACTATTCCAACTTCCAATCAGGTCTAGAATTTCTTGTGTCATCCACTCATTTTTTGCCAACATGGTTGGTGTTTTCCAAGACTCTTGTACGTTCTCTAAAATCGAGTTTTGAATATCATACCAGCATTCGTTAATGGTTTTGTTTACGTTTGGTATATTTGATATTTTGTGTATTTTACTATTTATAGCTGTGTTATCCGACATAGTAGAATGTCGTAAATGTAAAATTTGGACATAACAATACAAAATACAATACACTAAGACAAACAAACACTTTAAAATTTATATGGAGAAGCTACATATTGTATAGAAGCCGGAGACAGAATCAATCATTCTGTCTCCGGCTTCTATACAATATGTAGCTTCTCCATATAAATTTTAAAGTGTTTGTTTGTCTTAGTGTATTGTATTTTGTATTGTTATGTCCAAATTTTACATTTATGACATTCTACTATGTCGGATAGGCCACAATTGACGAAATGCCCCTGAAGATGATCTATTGATCGAAAGTACTTGGGCAAGATTAAATTAATCACCGTGTTCGATAGTTGCCTTGTATACCCTCAAAGTTTAATATTTTTATTGTTTGTGATCAGTCTTAATACAATTTTCTATGGACAGTGCAGGCGTCTCCTTGATCTGACATTGTAGGATACAATTTTAAGTAGGTGTAATCCGCTCTAAATAATGAAACTTTTCAAATTTTTTATATTAAATCGTCGATAACTACCTCCCCACACTTAAAATGTTTCTTATGTTTAATTATATATCTTTTATGACTACTAAGAAAACAACAGTTTTTAATTTTTGATTTAGTTTGCTATTTCAATATTTTATAGCTTAATCCTCTTAAATCCGGATCTGTTCTACATTCTAAAATATACCCCTTGAAAATAATCGTGTATGCGAAGCAATTCAATTTAGTTGTATAACCTAGTTTATTGTAGACATAAACATAAATCAGGAACGTTAAAATTTTAAATAAATTGCTTGAAAAGTTTGCTTAATTTCGCCCATAAAACCTGATTTGCCGCGTAAAATATGTATGTAGCATAAAAGCAAATTCAGATTCCATAGTCTTTGCATAAAGACTAACATTAATTAAACCGAGTACATTATTGAAAACGACAAACACGAAAGTCCATAATAAATCTTTATTGTTTTTAATGGCATTTTAAATGTGTACGTCATATGGTAAGCTAATAAATCATACTCTGTGAAAACGGACAATGACAAAGGCTAGTTATATAAATAAACACAGTTAGATAATTCTATTTTGATCAATACTGTATTGATCATTTGCCCCAGATATAAGTATTATTCTACTTTTTCTATTGTTTCTTCTCCTACTTTAATTTCTTTGTCATCTGCTGTATTAATGGTTATCTTTGTTTTATTTGTTTATTTTTAGTCTTTTTTTTAAACATATTTTATAAATGCAATTCTTTGTCCTTTCTTGTTCATTGTTAACCTAACTTGTTCATTGTTCATTGTTAGGTTGACAATGAACAAGACAGGACAAAAATTGCATTTATAAAATACCTTTTGAATGCGATCAGTTTTATTTAGGTGAAACATCAAGGCCATTAAATGTTAGAATAACTGAACATCAATCTTATATTAAAAATAGAGAATTTGATAGATCTCAAATATGTAAACACGCATGGGATAATGAACATACGGTTCAATGGAATAATTCAAATGTAGTCCTAAAAGAAACGGATGGTAAAAAAAGAAAAATCAAAGAAGCGGCTCTAATTATGCTAAATGAGGCCAATTGTGTCGCAAATTCCTCGGCAGAATGTAGTAGGATCTGGTTACCAATATTGAAAGAGGAAGTTATTAATAAGAAAATACCAGTATTAGTAAGTCAGTAACATATACAGGATACATCATTTATGTTTTCTAAATAACGAAACATATAAAATCAGAATTTTGGTGTTTATTGAAGGTAAACTAAATGCACGAACAAATACTTTCCATGTCGGGATAGTATTATGAGGTTTTTTCCTGGGTTTTCCCTCATAATTTACTATGGAATCACTAACAGGAGAATTTTACTGTCATCATGTCATGTGTTTGTCTTTTTAAAGACGATTTACATGCTATGATTTTTTTCTGGCGGATATTCTCAAAATAAAGTTGATTTCATGTAATCGAATGAACTATCTTATAAGTAAAGTCGTCCCAGGAGCGCATCTCAACAATATTGGCAATATCATTTTAAAGTCGTCTACTTTAAATGCATAATGTATGTCTGAATTGTCAATATAAATGAGTCAGATAAAATTAAATTATTAGAAGAATTTTTCACTATGTAACAAAAAACAAAATTTGTTTAATTTACTGTTTGTATTTTGAGAACGATTTCCGAAGAGTGGAAATTGAAACTTCAATAAACGCATTTTTTTCTTTAATTGTGGCTTATTCCCAGTTAAATAGTAATTAATTTAAAATGCCACAAGAAAATAGCTTCAGAATAATTTCAAAAGTTATGACGTACGTAATTCGTTTATTATGTATAACTGAAATAGGTCATCCTGTATACAGAGTACATAGTTAAAACACATAAATAGGAGAACATTTACGCACTGGATCATCTTTATGTTTTAAAAAAGTCTTTGATAAATTTCTGTGTCAACTTCCGGCCTCGTTTTGACTCAGCGATGTTGCGTCAATGCTGAAGATGAAGGACATCGGTAGGGGTTGACTCTTTCTCTTACTTAATGTAGGCAAGGGCAGCTCCAATCACATTCAATACTTCGGAATGAGATCCATGAGATAATCCACTCGTTGATGTCTTTATCATTTATCAGCAGTTCCGTTGGTAACTGATTAGCGAGGTCTACTATTTCAGCAATACAATTATTGTTAACTTTGCCATCACTTTTCGTTTCAATTTGAAAAAGATTTTTTATACCTTTCTCAAAGCTGTTACTTTCACATCTTTCACATCATCCCACGCTGAAGCTATCCAGTAAGACACGTCCTTAACGCTGATTTTTTTAAGGGCTGCTGTTACAACCATTCCCTCATCCAACCAGGTCAACAACACTTGTAGAAGCCTTCGATGATAGTTGCGTTTCATAGCCTCTAAAACTCCTTGGTCTAGAGGTTGACTGAAAAATGTGACGTTTGTTGGCAAGAAAACAGCTTCAATGTCACCGCTAGCTAACGAACTTGCATCTGGAGGAGATAGCGCGTTGTCTAAAAGAAGAATAGCTGTTCTTGGTAGGTTTTTCTTTTTTAAGTAGGCGTCAACAACGCAAACGAACTCGCCAAAAAACAAATCTTTAAAAATTTGACAATCCATCCACGCACGACGTTAATTCCTATACATGGTGGATAGTGCGATGAAATATACTTTTTGCTTGTTTGGTTTCTGCAATAGTGACTTTCGTACGCAGTCAAAGACAAAATGTGATGTTTAACAGCTTGAGTAACTTCATCGGATAATGTATGCCATGGCTTATGGGATCCTCTATTATCGTCGTGTGTTATTCCAGAACTAGAAGCGCCCTTTTAGAGTAAAATGTTAGTAATAATAATAAATAATTCAGTCCGAATAGCTATGAAGATTGCCGACCTCCGTCGCGGAGATGGCACTTGAAGAAGAAGAGTTGGTAATCAATTTACTGCTTTCACTAAAAGTCTTTTAAAAGCACGACTTACATGTTGGTATTAAATTACCATTAATCTGAAGATGATATTGATAGGTTAACAAACGAAATTTTGTTTAGATTCTTCAGCAACTTTTTGTTTTGCTGATTTCTTTTCAACGATGTTTACAAGACTAGCTGAATACGCAACTCTCTTAGTATAGCTACTCATGGCCCAATATTGTTTATATAAAGTGTAATCATTAAATTTTCGGTAGTGGTTTGCACTGTCTCGCTTCAATTTCTTTGCCTTCTTTCTGAGTTTTGTAGCTTTGGCCTAAATTTTTTTTCGATTTAGTTTCTTACCTCAGTTTTTTTGTGTCAGCTTTTACACGTTTATTTCCGCTATTTTTTATACGAATATTCCTACTTCGTTTCACTTGTATTGTGTGTAATGTGTTTTCTAAATATACGTGACTCACACCAACCACATTTAATTTGCTTTCATTTTCCGGTAGTTTTTTTTTTGTTTTTTTTTGTCTTAAAATGTCATCTTCATCCGATAATAAAACGTCAGAATCTTCCTCTGGATCATAAGAAGGCTCAATATCACTATCATCATCAAGACCATATAGTATGTCAGATGGAAACCCAGAAATAGATGGAGCTGCGTTTGAACCTAAAACAACAGTTGGTAATTTTTTCTTAAAATCAGCAAACGAGAACTTACTTGTACCACTTCCTAGGTTACTATTAGTCTGTCTATTTTCTGGCCCTGGCTTTTCATCTCCTTCCTCTTGATGTTGATAAGATTCGAAATCGGAATCTAGGTGTTAGTGTAGTTACTAGTCACATTAAAATAAATTTTAATATTGATAACTTACCTGTATTATTTGATTGTACATTCCCACACATTACCAGAATTCTATTAGCTCAGAAAAACCTAATTTTAAACTGTTAAAACTGTTTTAAAGTTATGAATACGCGCTTGACACTTATTTTGAGGTTAGAACGCTACGTGTCAACATATAGAGGTTAACTGGCAAAAACATAAATAATCTTATTAGACTTGCTAATAATTGCCTTGAAGACATTATTACTTGGCTTACTGAAGATAAGCTTTCTTTATCAATAGATAAAACATCAGCAATGATATTTAGTAATATGAGGAGCACAATAAATGACATACCTTTAACAATAGATGGACAGATCATTCCTATCAAAAACGAAAGCTCAAAAAGAATGAATATAATGAGAGCATTATGTGGCATATGGTGAGGAGCAGATGCTATTTTACTTCTGTTAATTTATAAAGGTATTATAAGATTACACCTTGATTACTCATGTACAGTACTAAAACCCTGCAGTAAAGCTAACCTCGTAATATTAGACAAAATCCAATTTAAAGCTTTGAGGATTATCACAGGTTGTATGAGATCTACTCCTACGAATGCCTTATTAGCTGAGAGTGGAGAAACATCATTAGAAATCAGACGAAAAATCTTGTCTTTTAAATTTTATCTTAAAATCTCAGCTGATATAGAAAACCCTTTGAATGAAATATTGTCTAAGCTAGAGTTCAAAATCAATAATCAGATAAGAGACACCATATCTTATTTACATTAAAAGTGAATTTGATCAAGATCTTAAACAATTATTTAAAGATAGTATTAAGTGCTGTTGCCAGATTGAGCTAACATATCAAATAGAAAGAATAAAAACAATATTCTCCGAAAACAAAAAAGGAGAAACATATAGTAATCAACAATTTCTTAATGAATTCTCAACCATCTATGAAGAATTCACTTGGATATTTACAGCTGGGTCATTAGAACCCAGTTCAAAGGCAGTAGGATTTGGAGTTCACATTCCATCAATAAATTATAACTATGCATCTAGACTCCATGATCACATACAAATATGCACTGCTGAAATTATTGCCATTAATAAGGCAGCAGAAGTTTGCTTAGAAAAAAAATATTAAAAAAGCAATAATATTTTCTGATGCAAAAAGTGCAATCCAAAAATTACAAAGTAACTGTTGGGGAACAAATAACCACATTGTAAATTTAACTAAAAGATTAATACTTGAGGCAAATGAAGCAGGATTTGATATTATTATAGCCTGGATTCCAGGCCACTCAGGAGTAAAAGGGAATATTGTGGCAGATCAATTGGCGAATATAGGTAGAACTCTAAACATCCCAGCTAACATAAAAATTAATAAAATGGACTATCTTTCATTTCTTACTCAAACATTAATAAGTGAATTTAAACTTGATTGGCTTAAACAGTTTAAACAAAAGGGAAAGTCGTATCAACAATGTCAAAGCGAATTCTCTATAAAACCATGGTTTCATAAGTTTGACTTTGTAGACCGTAGACACCTGACAACAATTATTAGGTAACGAACAGGAAATTGTTTGGCGCCAGATCATCTATTTAAAATTAACTGTATTGATTCCCCATTTTTGTGAGTGTGGTCAAATAAGAAGTATAATACACATCTTGCTACTATCAATAAGACACCACTATTTGATTTATATAAAAAAATTATTAAAGATGAATGCCCAACGCCCATTTCAGTACAAAATATTTTCCACAATATGAATGCTAAAACCTTGAAAACGATTGGTAAGTTTATCAATATTTTCCAAATTAAAATGTAAGTAAAATATAAATAAATACCCAACCTAACCTATTCTTTAACCACTGATGTCCTGTCCAAGATGCAAAATTCCAGATATACCTTACATAGCTTAATAGATGGAACAAGAAAAATCTATATCATTAATGACATATAGAATTATTTTAGAATATACACTATAAATTGTCCAAAATAGTTGAAGGGAATATGGTTATTTCCAGAATCTCTGTGACGAGAATTCCCTTCTATAATTGAAATAAAAATATGTACGTGAGGGGGCCACGTACCTAAGAGGTGGAGGCCATAAAACGAAAGAAGAAGAAGTATAAGGTAACTGAATACTGGTGTCAAGAGACAAAAGTTGACTTATCACCAAACGCACGGGATGTGCTAGTGGTGCTATTGGATATAAGTCAAGTTATACTCCTTTGCACGCAATGAATGATAAAATTTTGATTTAAAGTCATTGGGCACCAACCTGTATCTAGTTAACGGTGTTGTTATTGACTTATGTCTCTTTGCACAACCACAGATGAACTTGTTTTTTACACCGTAGTGTACTTTTTTCATTTTTCAACAAATGTATACTTGTACCCCTTTGCACGCATACCAATGAAATATTAAGTGCTTCTCTAATCACTAAAGGATAAAATACTTACTAGCGAGCTATCTACTTATTCATAACAATACATTAAACACAAATTGTAAATTTATTACACTTTTGACAAATACATATCTATTTTTGTTTTTTATTATTGCTTTTACTTTTCCTGTAGAATCGATCACAACGGATGTGTTATCTATGACCCGGATACCTCGCGAGTACTATATCTACTCCTGTTTGAAATTGAACGTGTTCATATTTGATTTATTGGTCTAATGTGGACGATATTGGCTGAAATTTCATTTGCAAAATCTAAACTGCTCCTGTCCAATATGTTTTATTGAGCAACCAGTTGAAATGATCTATTCGGTGTTTGAAATATAAAGTAGTAGAACATAAATTAGATAGCTTCATTTCCTTTATTGTTCAAGTTAAATAAGTTCTATTTTATTAAAATCACTATACTATTATTCTCGTCATCATTGTATTGTCCTTTTTTGGCTTTTTATCTGTTAGGTCTTTGAAAATATATTACTCTGAATATAAATTTTCGCTATATATGCAATACTTCTCGTATTATCATCGTATTACGAAAGTAGGTCATTATTATAATGATATTCGCCTCATCTCTTGCCATTTTAACAAAATTTTAACATCTAGAATGCTTTGATATTGTTTTCTATCCTATTAAACATTTTTATTGATTTCTTTTCTGTGTATACAGGGTGTTTCAAAAAAAGGTAACCCCGTCTCTAAGGTAGGTAAAAAACTGAAAAATAATTGGGGTTGGCTTTGTAAAAAATTTTTGTAACGCCATCCGTTTTCAAGATACAGGGCGTTGAAGAAAAAAAAATTACGCATTTCTTACGATTTTGCCGAAACTACTGGCAACATTGTAATGAAATTTTATACGAATATGTCTTGGAAGCTGATACATCTCATGAATTTGTTTTTATATCTGATTCTCATAGAGGGCGCTAGTTACACGGATCATACTAAGTATTAGTCATTATAACTTTTTTAAGAGTATAATTATTAATCAAAATTTCAAGGAAACTTAAACATCATTCAATTTTACACGAAAAAGGTACTCTTGGTAAAACTCGATACTGTGTACCGTTTTCGGAATATTTTGATTTAAAAATTATGAAGTAATAATTGATGCTGGTAGTAATCATAAAGTTCTAATAGAAATACCTCTATTTTCTCCAAGTGTGCCATAGAAATTTGACATTTATTGATTATTATGACGATAAATCAACAATAATTGGAGTTTTGCAACCTTGTTATTTGTAAAATCAGATCAAAATGTATACAAATGTTGAATACACTGACATGTTATTAACCTTAGGCGAATGTTCTAGTGCAGTTGTGACACGTTAAGCAGAAAAGTTACCAAGTAAAAAAACATTTAGAGCCATTGAACGATGTTGTCGAGAAACTGGCAATGTGAGACCAAATAAAATAAATTTTGGTAGACCAAGAACAACAAGAACAATTAATAAAGAAAATAATATTTTAAATTTACTTGACCAAGATCCAACAGTTAGCGAAAGGAATATAGCAAGACAAACAAATACTTCTTCTTCAAGTACTTATCGGATACTGAAAGAACAGTAATTACATCCTTATCATTACAGACAAGTCCAAGAGCTCTTGCCAGATGATCTACCGGTTAGAGTGGATTTTTGTGAAACATTGCAACAAAGGACAGTCCACAATCCAAATTTTTTAAAATGCATTCTTTTTACGGACGAGGCCACTTTTACGCGACAAGGTATGTTTAACTCGGACTACGCAGTTTGTTCGTATATTAAGGAAAAAGTCTATGCTACAGAGGTAAATTCACGCCAAGAATTGGAAGAAAGAATTCAACGTCAATTTAATGACATCATAGATGATCCTTTACCGTTTAGAAGGTTAATAGAATCTTTAGAAAAAAGAATAGACTTGTATATTCGCGAAAACGGAGGGCATTTTGAACACATACTGTAATTGAATTTTATTTTATGTTCTTCTTCATTAATTTAATTTTCCTCTTGTGAATTTTGTTTAATTACTAACTATTTTATACCAGCATCAATTATTTCTTCATAATTTTCAAATCAAAATATTTCGAAAACTGTACACAGTATCGAGTTTTACCAAGAGTACCTTTTTCGTGTAAAATTGAATGATGTTTAAGTTTACTTGAAATTTTGATTAATAATTATACTCTTAAAAAAGTTATATTGAATAATACTTAGTACGATCCGTGTAACTAGCGCCCTCTATGAGAATAAGATATAAAAACAAATTCATGGGATGTATCAGCTTCCAAAACATATTCGTATAAAATTTCGTTACAATGTTGCCAGTAGTTTCGGCAAAATCGTAAAAAATACGTAAATTTTTTTTTACTTTAACGCCCTGTATCTTGAAAACGGATGGCGTTACAAACATTTTTTACTAAGCAAACCCCAATTATTTTTCAGTGTTTTACCTACCCTAGAGACGGGGTTACCTTTTTTTGAAACACCCTGTATAGGTGGTGCAACAGATAAACGGCTAATTAGAAATATCTCGACAAATTTTGTAATGAAAATATTTTCATCTATTTGCTTTTTTTTGCTTGTAACTTCATTTTTAATGGGATACTTTATGTTTTATAATTTTAGAAGTATA